CACTATGTTGCATGTGCTGGTGGCCAAGTTTCACAATTGCTACTACTAAGCATATCCTCTCGGGTTTCGAATTTGTGGTATTGCGCATCCTGTTTATCGGGGTCACGCCGAAATTCCAGTTCTATATATTGCTTGAATGGACTGTATGCATCTGAAACGCAAAGTGCATTTTTCGATGCCACACACCATTAGACTAGCCAGTACTAGCGCCGCAGAGCTAGAGGGAGTTGCTGTGTAAACAGACAGCCTTTTTAAACGAGGATAAAATAGACTGTCGGGAGACACACCCCTTTGATGCCTCATGAAGGTCTATTTTGCATTCTTGGGTCGATTCTACCAGTCGTAAAATTGGAGCCGCGTCGGAGTGTGCGTGAGTTGCTGCACAGTGTACTGAATGTCCTGCAACCTAGCAAAGAACCTCAGTAAGCTACAAACGAGTAATCTAGCTTATGTTTCCATGATGAGCAATATTCATCCACCAATCCACAAAGCCCTGCGTAGAAACGGTCTGAGACAGCTGCGTGGACGAGGTACGCTGTTGCGTGTTGCATGGCAGATTGCCGCCCTGCTGAGGCAACTCCGCTTGTAGGCTCACGGTAACCCTTTTGATGTTTGTAGTGATGCATTAGGCTGTTGATAGATACTATGTTACTTCTTGGTACCAGACTGCCAGCAAGGATAGATGCATGTACCAACTTTCCAGAGAACAAAACTGCATGATGACCCGGTGGGCATTGCCATCCACCCACAGTATCGATCTCCTCCGCACCTAGGATGCATCCAAGGTATATGTCAAGAGGAACAGGATTTCATGGCTCATTCTTGAACAAAAGCTCAGATGTAGTATACTTGGCAACACGAAGTCTGTAGTTGCTCCTAAGTGGCCCCAGTGGCCCCCTATCGAGAGATGGTTTAGGATCCGCTGGGGTGACGCGGAACTTCGTCTCGCAAAAAGGCAATCCATGTGTGGAGAACTATATCCTTGCTGAGTAGCAAAAGAAAATATATTTTATGGAGGCCTGTTTGTGCAACTTGCGCTGCGTGGCGTTTTGCACCATTTTCTATGCTTCTTGAAAACCACTGCTCAGCCACACTGTGAAGGGGCGTACTGAAATACTTGGAACTCTTTTCAAAATAAGGTGAACTTTCAGTCTAGCATTGTCTACTTCTAAAACTGTTCCATGCTTGCCAAATGTGTAGACGCTGGGAAGCAGCGGCATTGAAGGCGTGTCTCAGGAAACGCATTGTACCGCTTCCTGCGGCCTGGCAAAGTTACCACTGGAGTTGAGACTGTATTGTCTAATTACGAATCGCCTTGCTTTTACCTCAAGCAGTTATGTTCTCATTTGCGCCAGATATATGCAGTGTCGGTGGGTAGTAAATACTTCTCTGTCGTCTGTGTGGGCTCATTTGACCATTTGCACGACGTCTTCTGGAGCACCGAAGCATCGGTGCTTTCCACACATTTGCCTCAACAGCAAGCAGCCGTTTGGCATCCCGATACTTGTAACTTTCCGTTCTGCCTCTTTAGAGCTTATTTCGAACAACTCGGGGGGACCTTGCGGGGTGGGTGGATACGTCATCTTTGCTTGCGACGGAGCTTTGGCAAACGACGAGTGCATATAAGAACTGCAGGAAACGCTCATATTCCATGAGAATTTGGGACAATCTGTTCGGCGTCTATAACTGGTGGACAACAGCAGAGCCTGACTTCAGCGCCAACTGTCCTCTCTGCTCACCCACGAAAGCGGGGTGAACTCGTCAGATGGACCCACACTCACATCCACTTCTCGGGGATGCTCTGCCTCCGCTCGAAAGACTTGCGAATGGAGCGGTTTCAGATTTGGAAAGCAAGCGAACGCCTGACTGTGGTGATGGGGCAGCTTGTATGCAACGTCCCTTCAGTGGGGGACATTTTTATGGTTCGTACTCTTCTCCTGTGCGCCTTTCTATCGTTGTATTTATCTCCTTGGCTGTTGTATACTTTTTGCTGCGTTGTTCTGACTTGACAAAAGGAAGATATCGGGCTGTTCCGTTGATCAGGGGGCTTGCAGCTGGGGACGGCAGACCATGTCACAAATATGAAGAAGATTGGGGGAACGGAAGAGAGGAGGGTTTTTGGATTGATGGACTCGAGTGGACTGCTGGGAACTCACCGGCAGAAGAAGGCCCCTCTGGAAGTACGGTGTGGCAGTCAGACACACGGCGGTCGTCGTCAATGCCACTGACACCTGGGATTTTCGGGGGACTTCGTCCCGTTGCTATTGGAACAGAACAAGCTAGTGCTGCAGATAACGCACTGGAACTTACCGGAGGGATTGAGGGAAATTATGCGCACAGACAGCATCCGCAGAGCCAAGGAACTCTTCACCCATGCCAACAAGGGCTTGAAAGGGGAAACGGTGGTGTTGAGCATACGACGGCTGAGGTGCGACTGCAGGAAGGTGAAACGTTGGAAATGTGGAAAGGGCGACATTTGCCCCAATATGCTGAAATGCAGCTTGTGAGCGTGTTCAAGCGCATGATGGGAGCTGCATCGGCGTGCCAATCTTTATTGGAACTGCTAGACCGGAGTCAACGACTGCGACTGTCATGTGAAGTGATGAGGTTGCTTGCACTGGAACTGGGCGCTATTTCTCTCGTCCGAGAACACCTTGAACCTTTACGGTCAAACCTTGGTGTCGCTATTGTGGATTTGGGGCTACATGCGCTACAGCGCTCTAGCGTTCTAGAAGATAGCGGAAAGGATGTTTGGCTTATTCGCGAATTGATTGCCTTGGTACTCGAGCTCAAGAATCCCCGTCCGGCAACGGAAGAGAACGTCGCAGTTAGGTACAGAAAGAAGATGGTTTCTATATTGCAAACAGCCTCCTTGGCAGCAGGATATTGTATGGGTGTGGTCTTGGGGCTGTTGGCGTACACGCAAGGTAGGCGCTCTACACCGCCACCATTTTTGATCGAGAAGCGAATAGATATGCTTAAAGCATTGTACGCCACACATTCACGCCAAATCGCCAGGGATGCTTCCCTACGGCATTTCATCGTAGCCTGCCAAAGACGCATGAAAATATATCCAATTTTGGGTCCCAACCACTTCCGGATGTCTACACATCACCTGCCTCCGTTGAAGTACATGAAAGGGGAAATTCATCAAGCTGTTGCAAGCGCTGGCGGTCTCCTAACAACTTCAGGGACACCATTAACAAAGTATAATATTCCTGTAGCCAGCCAGGAGCACGCATATGATTACGTGCACAGCCCACATGGACCGGGTAATGGAACCCACCGGAACAGACAGCAGCTCCAAAAGCTTGCCTCCAAAGTGCAAGCGGCAGCCACTGCAGAGCCCCAGTATTTGCAGGCAACAGCACCATTCGTACAGCCTTTATATCCTAGATCCGCACCATCACTCATAGGTAACCGCACTCCCCAACATCACCTGCCGCAGCGCGAA